GGTTTTAACTATGCATGAACTTTCTCCCTCTGCACCACTTGCACTGGAAACTCCGGGTTAGTTCATTTGTATCTATGACGCGCACTCGATCAACGATCACGAACATAACGTTCCCGGGTAGAACGGGTGTGCGGGGGAAGAACGGCTCACCTCGACTCACCCACCACCCTACCGAAACATTCAACCTTGCTGGGTAACTCGCGAAAAATGTACTTTTGTTTGTTTACCGAGAAATTAGTTCATTCGAACTGGAAGGGGTTTTAGACGGACCCGGTTCAATCGGTGACATGTGATGGCCAAAACACCAATCACCTTGTCGGGGTTTCCAATGGAGTGCGATTGGTTGGATTCACTTGGAGTTACGGTGGATTCACTTGAAGTTACAACGGATTCACTCGAAGTTACGGTGGTTCACTTGAAGTTACAACGAATTCACTTGAAGTTGAAAAGTTATAGAATTGGTCTCATAGGGACACCCTCTTAGTGTACTTTCGGAAGTCCATACAATCTAGGAATTGTTGTACCCGTTAGTATTATTTTCTCGAACGTTCCTACATCGATTGGTCCTTTTTGCTTCAGACACCGTAATTGCGTGGAAATCAATTTTTCTATCTGAATCGTTTTATCCTTTTCAGTTGAAGTCTTTGTAAACTTCGATGGATCATTCAATATCGTCCTCATCTTCTCTATGTAATCAAACCTTTTCATGATTACAATACCTGCACCTTTATCTGGTCTTGATATCATCAATTCTCTATCGGCTATCAACTCTCTGAGACGCTTCAGGTGTTCCAAAGTTAGCAGTCCTTTTGTTGATGATTTACGATCGCGATACTGGTAACATGAGTTCACAAGTGTGGGTTTAAGTTTATCGAACTCCTGCGAAGAGGATGGCGCCAGTCCAGATAGCTGAGCGAATAAACTCTCAAATTCAACTTCAAAATCTAATTGCTTAGTCTTACTGGTCGGACAACAGAATTTTGGCCCCAGAGATAGCACCCCAAGCAAAGTCTTGTCTAAGTTTACAGACGACAAATTGTGAACAAACCTCTTCGGATCTGCTGGGAACTCATCAACCAGTTTGCTAGAGTTGATACATTTTCGTAATGCCGTACGTATCCGCTTGACTTGCTTGTCTGCAGGCGATTGAACGTACGCCACAAATTCCGTTTTCTCCTCTGCAGTCAGCTCATCCAAGACACGGGAAGATTTCAAAAAATTTCGCTCCATCCCGGGTTCGTTAAGTGCTTGGTGACGTAGAGACACATTAGTGATGTTGACACGATTTCGACATAAAACAGTTCGATAATGTTTAGGAAATGAACACACAAATTCGGAATCTTTCAGCCAACAGACGCCTTCTCCTAAGGAAATCTCTTGCCATCACCTCCTCGTGGTATTGCGTTCAACAACCTCTTTGTTCTATTGAACATTTTACCGAAACAGCTAATGTGCTTTGCTGTTCTGTGGAGACAAGTTTTGTTCCCATTGATGGAGTATGCTCTCCGAGGCTGGAAGCTCTTAGAAGAGAAAAATAACAGCGGTCAAGTTGCACCGAACAGCCGCTGTCAAACAGTTTACGCTGCAAATCAGGGCAGAGATCAAAAGACTGAATACTTCATTCGCAAAGCAAATTCTGGGAGCTGGAATACGGTTATGGTAAAGGATCACATCGCTGTGCGGATAGAAAAAGCGGACAACAAACAAATCTATGACGTAGATAGCCCTATTGCTGCATTCGTTAATCCTTCAAATGTCTCCATACCCCACAGATAACCTGTCTACCGTAGACCCGGTTACCCATGAGGTCCATAATCTTAAAACCATAAAAATCACGAGTGCAGTTGGCCTCGACGGCGTTGATTCACTCACAGAGATGTTTGCGTCCCTTATCAACAAATCCATGTTCAATTCCGGATTATTAGAGACCGTTCACCATTGTTCCCACTCCTAAATCGTCTTCATCTAGTATTCTATCTAGACGCTCTTACCATCACTTACTCTGGACTTGAAATAGCAGAGCGCGTTATTCTCACCCGTTTCCAGTTTGATCTCAATGTTTTCAATGACCTCTTCCGTTAGCTTATAATACAAATAGATGCACTTGGGATGCTAACTCTTCACTGATGCACTATATTTGCAAATCTTTAGATAATTCGCAAAAATCCGTTCGCCGTTTTCCTTGAGTATCCTTCCACTTTTGTTTCCATTCCACGATATTTTCTTCTCCGAAAGTTACAGTCATTCGGCTGCTCCACCAATTTGTTTCCGTGGCTGATGGACTATTTCACAGGAAGGATTCAAAGAACAAAAGCAAACGCCAATATTTCAACTATTAATAATAATTAAGGAATAATTCAAGGTGCTGTGCTTTCTTCATACTTATTTTAAATATTCACCAGTGATTTACCCTCTATTCCACCAACAAAGACCTTTAAGTATGCCGATGATGTGCTCTTATGTCAAGCCATTTTAAACCAACCTGATATACAATCATTTCCTGACAGTTTATTACAAGTGCAATCATTCGCGAACCAATTCGGTCTTCAGTTGAATGCTTCCAATGCCTTTTGTCTTTCCCGTTCAGCATATCCCTTGGAACCCTCAGTCATCTATTCCGTAAGCATCACCAGAACACACCACCAAGTACCTAGGAGTCACCGTAGAGAGCAACCTACGGTGGTCCCCCCCCCATGTGCGAGCCTGAGTCCAGATACGCAAGCTACGACAATTTAGAATGAAGCATTCAACCATGTTTTTTTGTTTTTCAATAAATCTTTCCCATCATACTTTATTGTTCGCCCGTTATTTTCCCTGAACTAATATGAAGGGATCTGATTCCTCTTCGCCGCAGTTTGGTAATTACCAGCCGTGTTTCTCTTATTCCTCTCACTCTAATCACAAAATTGAGGTTTTTATACTACTTCATGTGAGAATTTCACCCATAAGATACCCAACGACTCGTAATTTGCTCAATCCGGATCTATCTGCTTGCCATTCCCAAGCCACAACTCGACCCAACTGCCGCTGCTTACCCTTAGCATATCGTAATTCAAAGGGTACCCTATCTGCCTGGTGTTCTAACTGATAAGATGAATATCCGGAAGGACCTAATTTTAAACCTACAAAAATGATCTTCTGTTTAAATTTTAGCGTTGTTGTTTTTGACTTTATTTTTCATCCCATTGTAACGATGAACACATTTTTCGACTGGAATGTAGGCATAGTCGCCTGCACAAGCCAATATAATACAATGCATTATGGAAAACGATTCACGGTTTTCCATTGCCATAGGGTATATATTCATATATATTTTCACTCACGTCTGAATCCAGGCTATATACCAAACAAATCATGATAGAATGATCATCATGAAAAAGAAAAATGTTCCATGATTTGCATGTGGGCGGAATACTGCCAGTTTGCCCAGGCTAAGGCAGATGAATTTTTTTGAGGAATCCACAACTGGAGCCTTTGGCTAGCCAAAGCCTGACCCGCAAGGCAGCAGGGCGGTGTGCGAAAACCGTAATCCATTGGGGGCCGGCATCCAGTTCATCGGATCATACGCCCGTAAGACGGGGTCAAACGTCCAATGTGTCCACTTCATCTCCATGCCCAATCGAGCCGGTGACCACTGCAACAACCAGGAAGTTGTGGGTGGNCTCGTTTTTGGTGTGCTCGGCAGCCATGGGCTTCTTAAAAACGGCTTGGATTCATCAATTGGTATCTTGCTTACCACAAGCGGAGAAACACAACATCCTACATTATGATTCAGAGAAACATAACTCATTCATCCTCATAGACTAGCTTCGGTCTCCTCTACTGTTGTTGTGAGGCAATATTCACACTTATGAGTAGCTTGCACGCACCAAACCGAGATTGTGGGATTTCCACGGCATTCGCGAGTGGATTAAGCATTTGTTTTTGTAACTATAGAGAATGCGCATCTACTGTCGGATCGTTCCAGTTATTACCTTGCGTTTGTGCAATTTTTGAAGACTAGTTCCAAATGAGATATTCTGTTTTATGTATGCCAATTTACCGATACGCTTACCCTGTTTCGTAATAGGTAACTCCCCTTGTCCCTGCGCCGTGCTATGGATTTATAATACTGGTTATCAAAATCGGTCTATGTAAAACGACTTCGGTTGACCTACCAATCAATCCTAATAATATCTTCTGCAACAGAAAAATGAAGTGCAGACATGCACGGACATGTAACGTCACCGACGTTCAGAAAATTAGAGAAACACTCGTACCGGAACTAAGCAAATTGATCCCACAAATCCCGGAGTGATTCGCACTTATCATTTTGCATTCACTAGTAGACTATTTTCACAAGAAATCTACACAGCACAATCACGAATGCCAAGTCGCGTTCGGTGAATGCTTATACACTTCAACTCTCATAAGCGACGAAAGAATGAAGCCAGAGTACCCGACTACTAAGACAAGCCGATACATTTTCACTCCATTCAGTGTTTTTTCTTACGTACACAGCAATATTCTTTTAACTGTTTTGTTCTGTGTTAAACAATGAAAACGAAGAAGATTCAAATATTTCTTACTGTAGAAATTAAACAGGCCAAGACTGTACATGAGATGAGAACCAGGTCTCCATAACAATGGAATACGCGAATTCTTGCAAAACAACTGAAAAGACAGAGCAGACCGCATCGTTCCATCTTCAGTCATTCTAATCGTCAGAGGACGACGATTTAGACGAAGACTTCGTGGAAGATCTCGCCCGGGAATGTCGGCTGGAAGATGCGTGTCGGGACTTTTTGTCTTCTTTGTGAAGAGACGTGCGTTTCCGTTTTACGTTGTGCTTATCTTTGTGTTTCGAGCGTTTTTTTCGGTGACGCCGATGATGATGATGCCGCTGATCATGATTGGAACTATCCAACTTGGATTCGGAGCTCCCCACTACCCACTCTAAGCGATCCTATAGTGGGTAAAAAAGAGAACGTTTACAACACGAAAAGATGTAAAAGCGTCAGATAGACACGTTTTGAATATTTCGATTCGCTATGTGACCACTTCTAATCCACGCAACTGAACAATGATAGCCTAAACCGTTGTAGGAACGAATCAATCTGACGGAACAATTCACGAACGAAGAATGAAATCAAGGATCTTGAATTAAAAACAACAATTAATATACAGGGTGAATTACAAAAGAAAACTCAAAACGAAGACTCCAGAGTACAAACGAATCACGACTAACCTCTCTAGGATCCCGTACACGACAACCTGCTCGTTCACAGGAACTTAAAAAGCGAATGAACACCAGTCTGGTAAAAGTCTGCCAGTGTATTTGACTGAATCTTGAGCTCTGAGCGATCTGATTGCTCATTGCTTTCGAATATGGCGAGCCAGTTCAGTTGGTCGCAGGGGAAACGAAGATACCACTGATTTTATGCAACATGAGGGTTACCGGCCAAATCATTACATGGTAATCAGTGATGCGCGATCAATTATTTTGTTTTTGTCGTGACAGTGTGTGTTCGATTGACTGAGTGCACATCACCTCTATGCATTGTAGTACCGTAAAGTGATTGTATGAACGCAAACAACAGAAACGGTTTCAAATATGGGATCAAGAGTGAGTAAACAATGATAGACGAAAGGTGGACCGGCTGTACACACTCATATAGGACGGATTGCTTTATCCATCCGGGCGAATGGAAGGTGGAGATGGATCCGGAGTTGGAATCGACGATTATAAAACGTGAAATCATTTTCATTCTTCGGTAGCCTCGTGGTTCTATGAGAGTAATTGTCCCACGGGACAACTCTAGTCGATGAAAAAAGGTCACAAAGATATTTTGTTTGAAAGAAAATGATGGAACAAACTCGTCTAGCTAAATTTACGGCCAATAAACAACCAAGCAATAGGTTGTCTTTCCTTAAAATAAACAACAAACGAGGTGCGCAGTTATCCAACTTACCAGTCCTCACATACTAGGTCAACTCCTCTTGTTGTTCAGAGTTGACTGACTACACATTCTGTGAGTGGATAGGACCAATCGATGAAAGTATGATGCCCATCAAATGGAAAATACTTTGGTTACTAAATCGCATTTTTCTGCTGTTCGTTCCTCCACATGTGCAATGTAAATATGGCAAACTGGCCTCCAAACACGGTCCCATTGTCATATACAGTGAGAACCACAAAAACTACACATGTAAATAAATTCACTGATATTACGTAGAAAGTGGAACTCCAGATGTGTTACCGATAACTTTCATTGCATGACGGTACATGTTTGCGTCATGATTACGAAGACTTGTTTTGCGAAAGGTCTACTCAACTCAGGATTTCAACTGATGGACCACAAAGTACAACTTAATCGTGCGACGGCATAAAGGATGTCGGCACAGTAGGGTTCCAACGCCCTCCCGGGTGTTAGTGATATGCACAACCCTAATTCCATCGATCGTGATTTAAACATGAATAAGGTAATGTGGGTTGCAGATGATTTGGTTTGCGTAATTCATTCAAATGTGAATCACTGATGAATTTGAAGATAGAGTTCCCTCCGGTTTAGTTCGCAATGTAACATGAACTTCCGTCAAAGGTTCTTTAGTTTCCCTTTAAGGATGTTTGAAGATGGCAAGCTACCGTGATTAAACGTTAATGCGAAAAGCCAAACACGAAAAGCGATAAAAGGATATAAACATAAGTTGAAGGGCCCAAATTAGGAAGCTATCGATTTACAGCACTCACATAGGAATCGTTCTGGCGCGAGACAGGAGCGGCAAGAACCGAATTGCTGTGTTGCGCTTGTTGTGACATCGGGTCTTTGAAAAAAATGAGCAAAGAGAAGATCCCTAAGATGATAGATTAGCCGGACGACAGACAAATTTGAAAAAAATGTTACTTTTCATAACTTCGAATACGGAAGCCAAAAACACACGTTTGCATACTGCAGTCTATGTGCTCATTAATATATGGTCAGTACATAACAGAATCACAGGCGGAGAAAGATTGCGGTCAAAATTACTCACCAGACGCAATCCTTTCGGATATCCGTTAGGGTGTAAAACTTTTCTCATCTTGCCATTAATGATCACATAGACTGCAGTATGCACGTTACAGATGCAGCGAAATGATCCAGTATACATTGTGCAAATCTGTTTTTGGCTTCTTTATATTATAACTGTCGGCAAATGTGTTATGCGAAAATGAGGAACAGTGACTAGATTGCAGGCAACGTCGATTAGGCAAACTGGCACGGAGAAACAGAAACTGACTAGTCAATCGAACGCATCGGAATAAACATTTTCAAATAAAACGAAACGTGATCCTATGTACCACTGGGAGGCTGAAACACATTATGGAAACAGTGATTTAAGGACAACATCCCACAAAAAGCCGTTGGAACGAATTCAAAAGAATGGAACTATAAAAATAGAAGAGATAATGAACCAATTGCTTGGCGATGGGATAACGACTGCAGATTTAAATTTAAAGACGGTTCGTTAATCAGAAGAATGGCCTTATATCGAACGCGGTAGAGAAAAAGAGCGAAATACGAAGCCCCATCTCATTCGTGAGTGTAGTATTCGAGCAATGAGAGGGTATGAATTTGTAGAAAAAGGTGGGTGGGTGTAAGGAAGCGCTTGATGCGCAGCGCAAGAAGCGAGTGTGGAATTACAGGTAGATCAGCAGAGATAATAATTTATGGATAGACCAGGGAGACCAAGAATCTACAGAAAGAAGCGAGAGTCAAACTTTAAATTGATATGAATAAGAGACATTTTACAGATAATAAAAGTTGAGAAGTTTTACGTATTTTACCAATCTCAGTTTCGGATTGAACAACCATTAACCATGCACTATTGTGCATCGCATTTGATTGCGGTCTGTTGGCTGCTCCTTTGGATGAACATTAGGAGAAATACAGGAAAGGCTGAAAGTAGAATCAAAGAGAAAATTTATAATTTCATTGGACTAGTGTTGCAAAGAACTTGAGAAGATGCAAGAACGCCACTGTTTACGACACCCAGCCATATCACTCAATATCTCTAACCATCGGTTACGACCATCCCGAGGTCCCCATCCAGGGAGCCTAACGGAACCTGTGTCCCAGATTCCTGGTTAAGGTTTTCATATCCTCATGCCGGGTCTTAGGCTGACTACCCTTGGCTTTGTTCCATCCACTATCTGCCTCGGCAAACCTCGCACGCCGTGGCAACCTATTTGGTAACATGCGCAGCACATGCCCCAACCAACACACATGATTGGTAGAATCCCATGGGGAAATGAGTTCGAGATCGGAGGCAAGAGGCGTACTAATGACACCGAGATCGTGACCGATGCCAGTAGTGGTCCAGAAGCGGTGGGGTAAGAAAGAGAAAACTTGCATCTACAATTCGAGGGACAGGTGGGGTCCAAACATGGTCTTAAAAATGTCGACCGAGACTAGGTGCGTTTCTCCGTGGTTGTCGAGTGCGGTTGACCAGGAAAGTGATATGAGAGCCGATAGGTCCTCAGGGGCTCGATAAAGGTGAAACCCATGTTGACAGTCATTCGGTAAGCATCCGCGTTCGAGAAACGAGCGCAGCTTGTCGGAAATAAGAGTTTCAAAAACGTTCAAAATTACGGAAGTGAGAGTAATGGGTGGGTAGATATTGGGACCACAAGTGTCGCTACGCTTTGAGATAGGAAACAATAATGGCATTTTCCCATATAGTTGGAGACAGTTTGAGATTTGAGAACAAAAAAGGTAGCATAAAACAGGGGCTAACTCCGAGGCATACATTTGTATGACGATGGGTGAAATACCGTTAGGGCCAGGTGGTTCACAAACATCCGAACCAGGAAAACTGCGGCGGATCTTTCTGGTTGCTAGGAGAGGTAGAAACGAGTGGGTGGATGCGTGGTAGGAAAGTTGAAGGATACAGTCGGTAAGTGCAGATGGGGAAGCGAAGACCTCTGGTTTTTCGTGTGGTTCACAGATAAGAAAGCCAGAGGAGTTAAAAATGAGACGAAAGTTGAAAGGGCAGAAATTACAAGAAACCGCTCTAGGGACCAAAAGCAAGTACAATTAAATCACCAAGGGGATCGTGATATACCGGGTTTGGTGAAGTGTGAAACGAAAAGAGAAAAATCTCAATGGTGTTTGAAAAAAATGTGAAAACATCAAGCTTGAAACAACAGTCATTCCAAAGGTGACAGGTTACAACATCAAAACTGTTGCAGTTGGCTGAGTCGTAATGACAAAAGTGCGTTTGGATTTCGGTGGTAAAACAGGACGAGTAAAAAGGGTGAAAAGTGATATGAGGCAATGAACCGATAATTTAAGGGAATGATGAGGGAATGAATATAAAACTAAGGTCATCCGTGGGGGGTGTCCTTAATACGATTGGAGGTTCGGGTGGGGAGATCAACCAGTTGACTCAGGTTGTTGATCACAGCCTCAGCTTCGCGTCCCATGATTGAAGGGTCTGAGAAATTGTGAACATTAAAATCTGTTATAATGGTACGTTGGCTGTAGGGATGTATCGCCATCAATTTCTCAGTGTTGTAAAATAGAATATCAAAAAAGGATCCATGCTGTTGGGGGAGCAGTAGTGGTTGAAAGAACGGAACCGCAGAGTAATGCCCGACAATGGAGAGGTCTGTGTTTTGGTCAAAAATAAAGTAATGGGGGAGAAGATTGGGGAAATTGGCGTATACAATCAATACTGTAATTTAAGCCTCGAATGTTAGTGAGGACAGTGAGAGCGGCCTGAATTCTGTGAGTGTGCATGCGATTATTCATTTGAGTGGTGCTGTCCATGCATGATGAGACAGAAGAACAGCAACCCAACCTCAAGACTTAGAGTGGTGAAGCATAAGGCCTCAGTAGGGCAGTTATGGCAATGTACCGAACGAAAACGCCGCTGTCAACCTAATATGACAGTCCATATAAACCATGGATTGTTTTGTCCACCACACATGAAACACAATGTTTACAATGGCAATAATGCCCAAACGAATGATGTTGCAAGTAGCGTGTCAACTAGCATAGCTTAGGGTTCAAACCCTATCGGGGATACACCATTTTGGTTATAAGCAGTTTCTACAACCCGTACAATGTAGTATCCTTCCTAATGAGACTTATGAGCCTATTTTTTAAATCCCCAAAGGATCAAGATTGACGATTATTCTTGCCGCACGCTGAGCCTCGTGAATTTGGAATTTCTTTGAATAGGCACTGAATACCACGCGTCCAATAACGGGGCGATTACGTAACAGTTCAGTATTGTATTATGGCATCAGATGAGATTACTGTTACACTCACCATGGCGAATCACCACCCTTTCCTGATAAGCAAAGTTGGGTTCCAATATTCCGAAACATTATGTTTACATGCGGAACCGAAATACCTCAACATTTTCGCAAACAAGTCATTTTTCACAAAAGTATTCGTTAGAACCGAAAGAACACAAATACTGAGAGATGTTCGCATTTCTTTTAATCTCTTCAGTCACTACAACGTAAAACAATCTGGTATTTATACAAGCAAGTTTTGATAACTAGTGGTAAAACGGACAAAACTTGCTTGTATAAATACCAGATTGTTTTACGTTGTTGCGACTGAAGAGATTAAAAGAAACGTTAACATCTCTCAGTATTTGTCTTCTTTCGGTTCTAACGAATTGAACAAAGGGGACCCAATGTTTCAAGTTTCACAAAAGTATTCCTTGGAATAAATTCAAGCTTATGGTTAAAACTGTGTTATGTATGAAAATGAACAAACAAGCAACAACGACAAACCGAATCGGCTGATTGAAACAACTGGAACTGACTTCCTAACCAAAAATACTAAAATATTTTATTGTTTCAAACCGATGTAAACTTTACTCAGACTATGATGAAACAAGCGGTGAACGAACAACACCGAATGCCTACCGAAAGAAGGAGGTAGGGAAGGTCCGTGGACGAACTGCGGATCCGGTTCTTGTGTATTTTTCCCGTTCGCCTCGCGACAATCGGCGCTTCTCATTTCTGTTGATGATAGTCGTGACAGCCCCGGCAAAGGAGTGTCTAATCACAGACAAGAATGGGAAACAAAACAAAACATTGACGGTTGAACTGTGAACTAACAACGAATGGCAGTTCATTGAAATGATGACTACAGAGAAAACACTATAATCAAGGACTGCATCAGACTATCAGGTCAAAAACCGAATGCGGTAAGGCGAAACCAGTGCATCTCAGCTGTTTCTATTGGAATCAAAAAAAGCTTTCTCTTCACTGTTAAATGCACAGTTGGCATCATCATCTAAAGCACACCTATGGCCTCAGAGGTTAGTAGTGGCGAGAGCAACGACGGCAATGGAGATCGCGGTGATAATAACGGAGTGTGAACTCACCATCTCCGGATTAACTTAGGGATGACCAATGAGCAAACGTGGACCGTCACGAGTTGGTCGGGAAATATAAAAAAGTAAGCCAGACTCAGATTTCGACGATTTAAATTATTGACTAACATCAAACAACTTACTCGGAGGGTGAAGGCTTGATTGCTCTTCGGGATCTGGTCGCTCTCAACTAGGACACCGCGTAATACAGACAATTATAATATGGCATCAGAATTAAACCACCAGTTAACCGAAGGGTGAAGCGGTGACCATAAAGGTACATCTAAACGATGCAGTGTAAATTCTCGGGACAGCAGAGCTTTGTGCAACCCAGCGTGACACCAGGTTGCGGTCCGTAATGTTCTGCTTTATGGTTAAGAGATCTGACCTCTCAGAGCGAAAGATGACAATCGACTTTCCTGTATTCGACCACTGATGTGTCTGAAGCATAGCCCGTCTGATGGGAAAATCGGTGAGACATGATGAAGTACCGTAAAACGCACGAAAATTGTTATTATTCCTGGTCTCCATTGTTTTCCATTGTAACCGTTAAACATTTTTTAAACTTCGTTCTGTATCCCAATTGACCCGTCCCCTCTTTATGTTATTATTGTTGTGGCGTTGCACCATACTTGCCCGAA